AAACGATTTTTCCCCCAGTAAACCTTATTTCATAAGGTTTAGTGGGTCCTTATGGAGTAAGCTCATATGTACCCAGGATACATAGAGCTTACCTCCGTCGATGAGAAAACCACATTATACACATGTTTTATTAAAAAGAAAGTATACGACATATTGCTAGGAGATGTGGCCAAATTAGCCTTAAAAACCTCCTTTTAGAGGCCCTCTTCTTAAGGTCGCCTCGAATCAAGACTCCTCAGATGGTTGGTCTTCTTGGAATGAAATTGAAATCTATTTTGAAAAATGTTTGTTCGTCTCTCGTCTAACGCCTTTGTGTGTTACTTACTTTTCACTTTTATTTAGAGGCAAACTCTGCCAGTAAGGCATATTTCCCCCTCACCTCAATTGCTCGCCTCCACCCATCTCTTTTATCAGCATCGTCATAATGACCGATATATTCGAAACTAAAAACCCACAAAATGCACAAACACAAAAAATGACGCCAGCAACAAAAACAACAACTACATCAAGGCAGCAACAAACAAAATCACCAAAAACTAGACACTAAAATTGGTTTAAATGCTGCCGTGCTCTGCTAGCGGAGGTGTGTCTGGAATTTTGAACTTTACCAACCGCACTAACAACTGCTCTCTGTCTCTGCCGCTATCTCTACCATGTACTGCACTCCACTGCATTACAGCGTATCGCATTGAATTGCATTGATCTGTTTTAGCGTTTTCTGGCCCGGTCTTGAAGTCATATTGTGTGGCAGAATGCCTTTATTTCTATCTTTCTGGCCATGTAGGTAGGTTGAGTTGTTTTTGTGGCCAAAAGCGTGTCTATTCTTTGCCGGTTTTCTGTTGAGGCGGCGATCTCTATGGCGATATTTTCGTGATGTTCATTTGTTTACATTGTTAGATTGTTTTCAGGAGATCATCGTCGTCATCGTCATGATCGTCCTCTTCGTCGTTTTATTAGTGACGAGCATTATTATTTCTGCTTGAAAATGTTGTATATTTTTGAAGTTTTGATACAAGTTTTTGTGATCGCATAATTGACCAATTTGTAATTTTAGAAAAAAATATATTTTCGACATTTAACGCGGTTTGTGGTTGATTAAAAACGACGAGGTAATATTTTGAATACTCTAAAAGGAGTCGTTTATGGTTGTGTTACACTTGAATTGAGTGTCTGTTCACGTTTTCTTTCGTAGCATTTACCTTCCGATTCTCAAAAACTCTCCAGGAATTGTCTGAATATAATGTGATAAATTGAAAACATTAAAATATTGAAAGGTTTTGGAATGAATGGCGTTTCCGCAATTTGCCTGCCAACAATATATTTTTATAGGGTTTTTAACAAGGGTTTAAATAGATGTTGGCATTATGCATAAATACGTATAGATGTTTTGCTTAAACTTGACTCTTGCATCCAATTGTGAAAAAGTCCCTTAATTTAAGTAAGAGTAAGGAAAAAATAATCATGATGCAAACATAAACCATTTTATTCAAATCTATACAAAACTAAAGTGATGCAAGCTACTACGCTTATGACTCAAAACGGGCTTTGACAGTCACGCCAATTTGGAATAATTTCTTGAGAGAAGAAGGAAAAAACCTTAAAACCCCATCAAATAATATTCAAATAAAGATTGATTGAAAATCATTTTTATAACCTACAAAAATTATGCAGCACCTCGAAATATTGGTCTAAGACTTAGAAGAATATACGAGCATATCTCGCTGAGCTGAGTCCATCTAGTTGTGTGTGTCCTAGAGGTCGCAGTTATAACTCAATTGACTCGGAATTTTGCATGGGTCTAGAGTTTAGGCTGGGCAGAACTCTAATAATATTTAGATGTAAAAATAGCACATAACTTTTATATATAAAATACTGAAATTTCTATTAAACCGGCAATATTTTTAATTCTAGCGAAATCGCGATTACGAAAATGTCACTTATGATCGCTACATTGATGCTGATATCCAAGATATCGCCTTTATAGCCAAGTAAATACAATCTATATATTTCAAAGAAGGGGATATTGGTAAGAGCGTTCATAAGTCGAGCACGGCTGTAATGATTTTCACAGTTCTCACTAATTCAAAATGGCAGAAAATAATAAAATCTGGAAAAATGCATAAAACGTAGCTAATAAAAATGTGAATATTTTTCTGTTATAATATTTAATTTTATTTTTCGCACACCTGTCGCAAGCGACAGCCAGAGTCTTTCAATGATTTTTTCCCCGATAAAAACCCAGATCTCCTTCTACGAAATCCATTTGAGGACGTCTAGCTGTGCCCGTCGATCTGTGTGTTTTGCTGTTACGCACGATAAAATTGGTAATCGTCATATTATTATTAAACATGAATCGAGTTAAGAGATGGACAATATCCGTTCAAACCTTCTGGTACCTCCCCTACATTTTCAAGGAAAATAATTTACTTCATAGAAGTACAGCTTGATTTTATTCAAACTTATTGAATCTTAATATTGATATCAGTGCTAGATTCGGTTGAAAAATGTACAATATCGGCCCCTCCTTCTAGTACCACCTTCACAAAGGGTCAAAATCGTAAATAAGCGCACCGTTCATAAAAAGTTAAGGAAGTGTCCCATTGTTCGTATTGCCAACCATGGCCTTGAAACGGTAATTTAAAACATTTTTTTTACCCCCTTGAAAACCAAACCTGAAATTTTGAATGATCTATTAAGTAGTCAAATTATTTATCCCAATATCTTAAAGGATTTCCTTTCTAACGGGTTTCAGATATATATAAACTATACCGTGAATTATAGTGCGATAGGGTATTAAAGAATCGACCCTTTTTGGTTGTAGAGCTACACTACTTGTTTTCGGTAGAAGTGCTGCAAATTCGGTATTCGAAGTTCGTAATACATAAATCGTCTTTAATAATAAATTGTCGATATTAGTACAGTTTTCGTATTGTACATATTAGTACAGTTATTCGTATAATACCATAGTGATTTGATTTGTAAGTGATTACGTTACGAATTGGTTACGAAGCTCATTATTTAATAATATTTGATTTTGCTGGAAAGTGTGGAAAATATGTTTTACATTTCTGTACCCTATAACACTATGTGTTGGGGATATTATAAGTTTGATTTGGCCAACAATTATGTAACACCTCGATACATTGGTTTCCCACATAAGAAAGTATATATGGAGTATATATGGATCTTCCTATCTCGACGAGCTGCGTCGATCTAGCTATGTATGTCCGTCCGTCTGTTTGTAATCACTCTACAGGTCGCAATTATGGTCCGATCTTCACGAAATTTAGAATGAAGATGGGGTTAGGGCCAGAATAGAAGCCTATTGGAGATGATCGCATAATATTTAGGAGTTGAAATGGACCAAAAACTAAAACAATTCCTGATTTTGCCGGTCGCAGTTATAGACCAATCGACGCGGAAGTTAGCATGGGGCTAAAACTTGGGGCTGGGCAAAAGCCTTACAATTTCGTTGGTCATCGGGCAATATTTAGTGGCTGAAATAGGGCATAACATTTGTGTTAAATAAAAGTAAAATTTTTCATTAGAGCGAGAATATTTGTAATCCTGGCAATATCACAAATAGACGAAGAGCTCAATTCTGACAGATACGTAGATACCGATAGGAAATATGTCTAATATATGTAGCGAAATATATATAATGTGTATATACAAAGGAATGGGATGTTAGCTAGATTGCTTATATCTCAAGAATGGCTGGACCGATTATGGCAATTTTGTCAATGACGTCTTGGTATAAAAGTATAAAATCTAAAAAAATCACATAAAAAGATGCTAATAATGATAATAATATAGAATTATATACAGGTTGCATTTATCGTCCGATCCTCAGCGGGTAGAATGGACCACTACTCTTGTGTGATAAAATACCAATATTCCCGAAACGCGAAAAATAACTTACAGGCGAAATCCAAAATACACCAAAGGCAAACTTCTTGCGGTTTTTATGCTATAGATGAATCTAAATTTGGAGATACATAGGGGCCTCTTGCTTTATTTAGGGGTCCAAATGAACGAAATTTTGTATGAGAAAAGAGTTAAGGAGAGGGAAGAATTCTAACATTTAAGTGTAAAATGGACCAAAATACAACTAAAACACGACAGAGTGGGTATATATTGGGCAAATGTCCATGGTCAAATTGCTAAGGGTAATATCTGGGCAAAGCTCCGTGATATAATTTTAAAAGCGAAATCTTCCTAAATGGATTTGGACATATAGGGGCTTCTTACATATTGTAGTGTTGTAGGGTATCACATGGTCGGCCCCGCACAACTATAGGCTTTGCTTACTTGTTTAAAATTGAAAGTGTTACTTTCATTTTTCAACAGATTTTCCTCACAATTTGTATTAACAATGCCTAAATCTTTTATTGAAAAGTTTTATTTTTTTGCTAAGCCACTACATAACGGTACACCTGACTTTAAGTGTTTTCAAGATTGTAGTTGTATTTTGAATTTTTTTCCGATGTAATTTGATATTGTGGCTTCTTTATACTTCAAAAACTTTCGCCCAAAAATTTTCATTGTCTGTTACTGTTCAGAGAATTTTAATTGTCTTTGGGAAAAGTTGGGGATAATATTGAGCATGTCAAGGATGTCAAAGGGAAAGATGAAAGTTTTGGCCAGAATAATAACATTAGGGACTAGAGTCCGTTGGCGAAATTTGGAGGATAATTTGAAATTTAATATTTCACATGTGTATATTATTTGTAATATATTGTATTGTAATTATTAAGCGTTTTAAGATATATGGACCCTGAAAATGTTTTTTTCTTTTTTTATTTCGCAATGTCGGAATATCGTTAATAAATGTAGTGTTGCACAGTGTTTCCTATCATTTGTGTCACATTGCTTCTCTATCCATATTTTGTAATTCAGTTATCACCAATGCCAAAGAAGTTAATTGGTATGCTGGCTCATTATGCTCAAACGCTGCCGGCGATTGCAAGTTAAATAAAGTCACACAACCACTTGTTCAATTTATTTGTCTTAAACTACTATAAAGCTTTATTTACAAATTTCAATAACAACTAAATTCCGTTCAATAAAAAATACTTATTTCACATGACATTGACTTGATTCCCTGAGTACATTTTCAGATGCAGACGAACAGATCACTTAATGAGACTTAGCATTTCTTTTCTCTTCTTCGGCTTGTTCGACGGCAGCTTTAGCGGCAGCCTTGGCACCTTCAGAGATCTCCGACAAGATGTTGGTACCGACGGGAATGAAACCATTCTTACCGGCTGTATAGTGCACTTCGATTTCACGACCCTCTTCATCGATGTAACGATAAGAACCGGATACCTCAAGGGCTTCGTCTTCGGTGCCGGCATCTACAACTTGAGCGGTTTCTTCGCGGAATGACTTGTCGCCACCTTCGTAAGAGAATTGGAATGAGCCATCAGGATTGTTGACACGTTCGTATTTGACCAATGGAATGATTTCACGTTTTTCTGTGGTGCTTTCAATCGCGGCAGCCAAAGCGCAGGAAGCGAAAGCCAAGATGCAGATCTGCAGGAAATAATAGGGTTTAATATTTTTTGAATAAAATAACAAAAGTGAAAAATAAATTGTGTGCTGTTTTTTAAGGAAAGTTGCTTCGAATCAACAGGATTTTATTCACACATATCTTCTATTTCTTTGGGATATTTGGTTAAGAAACATGGAATAAATTTAATAGGACAGTATCCATCTATTTTTATACCCTTAGCTATATGGCTACAGAGGTCATTCGAAATAACGGGTTTAGACCCCAGGTCTCTTTGAACTAAATCCGTTTCAGGACGTTTGGAGTCGATCTAACGATGTTCGTCCGTCCGTCTGCCTGTCTGGCTGGTGCGCACGAAAACTATCGAAGGGAATATCCGATTACGTCCAAACTTGGAACATCGTAATATTATTATCAAATTGAGGTCATGTTCGAAGATGGCAATATCGGTCCACTACTTCTGGTACCTCCCATACAAAAGGTTGAAATTTTCAAAAATATTACTATTTTTATAAAATGTGATGTAATAGTCAGATTGTCTTTAAATTATACACATCACAATATTTTTATAGCCACTCCACTCCACTCCTTCTGGAACCTCCCCACAAAGCTTCAAAATTTTGAATACCCATGAAGCTTATAAAACGCGAAATAAGCATCCGATTCCACGCAGACTTGGCACATCACAATATTTCTATCAACGCAAGATCTGTTATAAAAATGGTAGAGATCGGACCATTACTACTGGTACCTCTCCCACAAAGGGACAAAATTTTTAATATCCATGAAGCTCATAAAACGCGAAATTAACGTCCGATTCCATTCAGACTTGGTACATCTCAATATTTCCATCAATACAAGATCTGCTTTAAAGATGGTAGAGATCGTACATATTTCTGGGAACCCCACATAGGCTTCCAGATTTTGAAAAACAAAACTCTTAAAGAAATAAGCAAAATAAGCATCCAGCCCTCTTCAAATTTTCACATACAAGCATATTTTTAGGACAAGATCTGTTGTGAAGATGATAAATATCTGCGAACTTCTTCTGGTACCTCACCCACAAAGAGACACAATTTTCAATAATTTTATCTGTCATAACTTTTGAGAAAAAATAGCGATTCTTTACAACTTGCTATATCTAAATATTTTTCTCAACCAGAAATATGGTACGAACATAAAATTTATCGGAATTTATGCCCATAATGGCTCAATATTTGAATAATCAAAACGCAAGCGAACTTTGGCTGAGGCTATATATCTATTGACAAACCCGACTTATGCTATTTAACGTGTCTTAATTTTTAATGGTTCATTTTTACTTGAAACAATTGATTTTTAAAATGATTTAAATTTTTAAAGGAAATTTATAATTCCAGATTACTTTGATGACAACTGTAATTATTTGAAGTTGTATATTTTGTTTTATCATAGTTTTTCTCAGGGATTTTTAGACATTAAATCTTTGATTTCAAAATTTCAAAAATGTCAAATTATTTTGGAGAAATTTTATTGCAATTTAACGTTATTACAAAAAATCTAATTTCAGGTAATTTTTAAAACCTTTGAAAACTTTGAAATTATAAATTTTATTTTGATGTTTTGTTTTTCAATAAAATATTAAAAATATTTGCCAACAAATTCAATGAGAATTTAAGACGCAATTAAATTTTATTTTAAATTATACAAGAATTAATCAAATACACGTTTTTTTAATTATTCTTCCCACCATCTTATTATTTATTATTGACGTAATTAAGCCAAATATTAAAAACATGACTAAAAATTGTCATATCGAAAAAAACAAAATGCATTTTTGCACTTAAGACAAAGAAAAAACATCACCATTCACAAATGTAAGGGGTCTCCCACTTAATTCCATTTACTTTCCCCAACTTCATTCAAAATATTTCCAAATATTTCTTCAATGTCAAATTTAATTTACAATAACACTTTAGCACTATTACTGTCACAATCGCACACATATATTAACTAATTTATTATATCAACATTTCGTGGTCACTTACGAATTTGAACATTTTTATTTTTGTTTATTTTTAACTTTTGTCGAGATCTTCTTCACTGTCGGAATGTCGTAACTGAACTTAATTCCAACATCCAGAAATCCAGCATTTTATACCAAAATAAAAATAAATTATACAGATGATGATGCTGAGCTGAGTCTCGGTTATCATCTCTCTTTCGTTCATGCTGCTGCTGATTATCGCCTCATTCGATGGTTCTAAAGATTTAGAAGCCAAAAAAACAAACAAAACTCATACGCACAACAACAACTAATAATAATGGCACAACACATTAGCATCCGCCCAGCATTCAAACAACATAATGATTTTAATGATACCCATTTTACAAAATTGACTACGCTCATGTATTCTGTCATCCGAAGAAGAAAAAAACCGCGCCAGCACCAGAGAGAAACAAGTAAATTTTTTAACGTATTTTTTGACTATCTCTGATTTAATAATGAGTTGTTGTTTTTTCTTTGGATAATCTTCGCTTGAAGTGGAAAAAAAAACAATAATTTAATTTGCATATACATATTTACTAGTGAGTCAAACAAATTTCTTATCAATTGCCAAAAAACCAAGATTCTCTTTTTGTTGTCTTTAACCGCCACACACAAAGGCACAGACGAACACACCATAAACACACACACACGTTACGGGTGTGGACGCTTGTGTCTTAAGTCTTTCGTTTCAATGAATACGAAACGCCACCTATTTCGTATGAAGAAGTTCATTCCATATGCCATAATGGTTCGATATTCGATTCGAAGCTATTGATTTTGTTTGGATGCATAGCCGAACAAAACATCGATTTGTCATCATTAGCTAGTCATAATAATACAGAATTCTTAAAATTTAATATGGTCTAGATTTACGTAATATATTTTAAGAAGATGTTGAAGTTGTTTTTCTCTACACTTCGTAGAATTAATGACGTTAAAGTAAACAACATTTTCAAAAGTTTTTTATATTTAGATGTATTTTTAAATCTTCACAAAAAAAACAATTCATTGCGTCAGAATGAATTTCAAAGATGTATGGGTTTTCCCATAATCAATTATCTCAAATGGTATCTCTGGAGCTATTCATGTACTATTTTTGTTTCTACCATATATATTATTTAATATTAAATTTCCCGGAATGTGCCATAGTTCGCCAGACTTAACTATAGTGTCACCCGGTCTGATAAATCACGTGACATGCAACCATATCCCGATATTCGACTCCATAAGCGGATCGCCCGATTTCATAACCTCTGAACGCTGCACTTCCCTTAACCATACGAAAGATAACTGGCCAGAATTCACAGAGTTCATAAACTATCGCCTCAGAGAAATGCCCAATCCTTCTGATGTTCGGGTAGCAGAATAGATTTTCCAAAACATCGTCAAAGATACAGCCGCTCGCTATATCCGAAATAAGAACAAATCTCCCAGCAGAGGCAGCGGGACTAGTAAACGAGCGTGATTTTCTTTGTCGTTCCAACCCTGCTGATCCCAGAATCAGTGAATTGACCGTGGAATTCAACCGGTTGGTGCAGGAGCACCTGAGGGAAAAGTGACTGGACCATCTGATGTGTTGCAACATTGTACAGATATCAGTAAAATGTGGGTAGTGGTTAAATCGCTCTCGAACCCTAAGAAAAAGGTTGAGAGGACACCAGCCACTTTTATGGATGTAACGGGGATTGATCCGAAGAAGATTGTCCGAAGAGATGCGCTAAATATTACAACCGAAGCGAAGAGTACTAAGTCGTATCAGATATCTTCCCGCCGAGGAGGCACTACCACAGTTTACGGTGGGTGATGTTGCAAATGTCATCCGAATTGTTAATTTATCCAAAGCGTTGGACCCAATGTTAATGTTGAAACAACTGAATATGCCGGGAGTTGAGTACCTCACAAAAGTTCTCAACCTGCGTTGGCCACTCATATCGTTCAAGAAGACTGGAAAATAGGTCGAATGGTCTCGCTACTGAAGCCAGGAAAGGATGATATCAAAGGCGATTCATACTGGCAAATTTCTGTTTTGTCGGCAGTAGCAAAGACTCTTGAGGCTTTACTCCTCCCCAGCATAAGAGAAAGCTATCCAGTCGCCAACCACCAACACGGATTCCGTCCACAACAGCATTACACACCATATCCACACACATCAGTCGCGGATTAAGCCACAACAAGCCGTGTCATAGAACTGTGTTGGTAGCTCTTGACCTATCAAAGGCTTTTGACATAGTCAACCACATTGTTTGAGGATGTAGAGAGAACTACTCTCCGGTCAAGTTTGAAACGTTGGATAATCAACTATATGTGCAGACGCCAGTCGTACGTGGAATTCCGGAACAAAAAATCCAAACCCCGTATAATGAAAACAGGGAGCTCCACATAGTGGGGTGAAATCTCCGGAACTATTTAACTACTACCTTTCCGGAATTCATCACTCTCCAGGCAGCTCTGAGTTCGTAACATATGCGGATAATTGTACGATCATGGTGTTTATATAGATGGCATATGTGTAAGGTTGAACACCTATCTCGCGGAGCTTACCACCTACTTCCACGCGAGGAATATGAAAATATCCGCCACGAAATTAACGGCCACACCCTTTACCACTTGGTGTGTGGAGATGAGAACAGAGAGGAATGTGCTGGTCGGGGGAAATATAATACCGACCACGATCTACTCCAAAATCCTAGGGGTCACATTCGACAGCATCTTCAAGTTGTTCGCGTAAGCCACAGCTATCAGCAACAAAATAAAAAGTAGGTCCTCAAGGCTCTAGCCGACTGCTCTTGGGGTGCGGACAAGGAGACATTGTTTAACTTTTATGTCGATAGGTCGGTCGGTGTTCAGCTATGTATCTCCAGTGAGGCCTGCGAATACAAGTGCCACGCAGCAGAAGAATGTCCAGACCACAATGCAGCCCTGAGAACTGCGACTGGGTGCTTCCTCATGACAAGAGGCGAAGGTCCTTCTCCTACGACAGTCATCGTGGTAGTCATCCAAACCATCATATGGTGGATAACATTTCTCCACAGAGATAAAATTTACTATTTTATATGCATTGTACCGTTTAATATCTAAAGTAGGGCAGGGAATAATATAGTCGGCATATCTGACTTGTGTACTATGCTACCGAACCGTTTGGATATGACCCTTAGATCTCAATAAACTTTTATACCCTACACCACATAAGTGATAAGGGTAATATGTCTTTATGCATTTGTTTGTAACAAAGAGAATAAAGCTAATTTTGAGGATCTTCATAAGATCACTTTCTGAGTCGATTTTTGCATGTTAGTCCCTCTGTCCATCCGTCCGTCGGTCTCTCCATGTATTTTTATGAACACAATGCAGGTCGCATTTATTATCTGATTGAGATGAAATTTTCCAATCAAGATTTATTTTGTCAAATGACGAACCCTGTTGAAATTGGTGAGAATCGGTTCAAAGTTACATAGAGCTTCCATATATATCTTCAACAGGTTAATTTTGCTTGTAATGGCCAATATTAGACCAAATTTTGGTACAATCTCGCCGAATTCAGTCTAGAAGCTCGTACATCAAATTTAGAGAAATCGGTTCAGATATAGCTATAGCTCCCATGTATATGTTTCATCCGATATGGGGGCTTAAGTCCCTCACGTGCGTAATATGCCCTCCACAACAATAATCTTTAGTACCAGATATTAGATACGGCTCAGAAATAAGTGCGTAAAATTTTGTCCAGATCGGTTCAGATTTTATCTTTATCCGATTTCAGGTTTTTTGTGCACCAAATGTCCAATATCAGTCCAAATGACCTGAATTTTGGCACATCCGACATAACTTAGTCTAGAAGCAAGTACATCAAATTTTGCCATGTCTCCTATGTATATTTGTCATTAAAGTCCCTCACATGCGTAATGTGCACTTCACAACAAGGATATTTGATACCGGACATCAGATACAGCTCGCAAATTCCTCTGCAAAATTTCAGAATTTCGAGATCGGTTCATATTTTCATATACCTTTGATATACATCTTCAACCGATTTTTATAGTCTAGTTTTACAGGTATAGTTTACAATGTATTATCTCTGCAGGACGTTTTGTATTGAAAATAGGCCGTTTTGGTGTAGTCCCCATATAATGCTACCTCCCTATTTTTGGTATTTTGGTGATTTAAGCGACATTATTCACCGGAAATGTTTCAAATTCCGTATTTGAAATTCGTAATGGATACTACCGACTATGACAGAAAATTGTCTGTGCAGGTCCACGTCTTCGTATAGCCCTCATATAACGGTACCTCCCTATATTCGAAATTTTGATGATTTTAGCTACATTAGTCGCCGATTTTTTATTTTTCGCATTTGAATGTTGTAATGACTTATAATAAAAGTTGCCTATGTAGGTTCACGTCCTCGCACATCTCCTAATATAACGGCTACATTCGGTATTTTTAAGATTTTAACAGATTTTTAAACGGATTGTATTATTTTGAAAATTGCCAAAATCGTTCCAAATGTTGGAGGATATTCAGCTTTTTTACTTGTTTTTAATATAATCCTTATCGAAGTCATATCATGCACTATACAGCAATGTTATTTGGTGCTAGAGGTACAAAAGCCTCCGTCAAATTAATTGAAAATCGATTCAGAGTTGGATACAGTTCCCAAATTGTGACTATTGTAAAGCCATGATACGCATTCAAATAAGGTTCATAATTGGTATAATCTACTTCACAGAAATTCTCAATATAAACTTTTTTTGTTACGGGAGTTCTACAAAAACATATAGTGCTGTAGAGTATCATATAGTCGGCCCCGCCCAACTTTTGACCTTTCCTTACTGGTTTTTCATCGGTAACACCCAACAGACGAAGATATTCTTAAGGCGCAAATGTTGTATGAAAAACTTTAGGAAAATACTGTTTTTTGAATAAATTTATCAGACAGACCAACTGTATGGGTTTAGGCATAAAATTATTGTCACTGTAACTAATTGATTTATATGGAGTGCGTAACATAATGAGTTATTCAATAAGCAAATTGAACGAAATTTTAAACAAATTATTTGAATTCCCGAGAGTAGGATTTGATTTTTTTAATTGTGACGTATTTAAGTTGCATTTTTAAACCATTCGTTATTTGATGCAGGGTATAAAAATGTAATTATTCC